AGATACAAAAAGAGTCCATTCCTTTTTATGGCATTATCAACATTTACAGTGTAACATTTCAAACAGAAATTAAATTAAGAGTTAAAACTTCTGGCTGGGCACGGTGGCTCACACCTGTAATCCTAGCTTTCTGGGAGGCAGAGGCAGGAGGATCACTGAAGGTCAGGAGTTTGAGACCAGCCTGAGCAAGAGTGAGACATCGTCTCTACTAAAAATAGAAAGAAGTTAATTGGCCAACTGAAAATATATGGGGAAAATTAGTCAGGCATGGTGGGCGCAATACCTGTGTACGCACCTACTCAGGAGGCCCTGAGGCAGAAGGATCGCTTGAGCCCAGGAGTTTGAGGTTGCTGTGAGCTAGGCTGATGCCATGGCACTCACTCTAGCCTGGGCAACAGAGTGAGACTCTGTCTTTAAATAAATAAATAAAAATTAAAACTTCCAATATTAAACTAAAATGTAAATATCTGCTTCCAGGGTCACCTGTCTATGGCACACCAGGTTGGTGTAGGCATGGATGATGGATGGCCTGAGGGGAAAAGAATCCTGACTCAACACCATCACTGAAACATTAAATAAAATGATTTGCTGAGGTTATATAAAGCAGTTAAAAATTCCTATTCCATAGAAGAATACCATTTGAATTTCCTTATTTATTTATGATTCTCTACCAAAAGATAATTTCAAAAGTGAATTTTATAACTATGTATTAGATGATTTCTCAAATACAAAACCTTCTATACTCTGCTGCTTAGCTCAATTTTTGCTTAAAAGAAAGTATTTCCAAATAATTAGAATATATTTCTAAAATTTACAGATTTGCCCAGCATATATAGCTGAGGAGATGGAAGAACCCACAAGTTCTGTTATACAACTGCCATTGTTAAGTAGGAAGGAAGGAATATTCAGATTTCTTTGCTATTTTAGAGGGAGAATAACTTCAAAAAACACTTATTCTAGTAATTGGATCTGGCCCTATGAAAGGAAGGGAAGGAAGGAAGGGAGGGAGGGAGGAGAAAGAGTAAGAACAAAAACCCAGTGGTAGAATAGAGGTATTGACTTTGGTAAATACCTTATGATAGACTGATGCCTATTAAAAATTTGATTTCTTAGAGCAAAGAGATGATATGAATAATATGAAAAATATTTCCTTTTGAAACTTATGTTAAGTTTCTTATATTGTTAAACCAATAATTTGACAAAGTAATTCTACTTATGTTTAATCTTATAAAATTCTCCATGACAATGTGCATGTTTTTTAAATATAAAATATTACTTGAGACAGACTTTTAAACATAGTGTATAGGCAGTTTAAGAAAAATAAAAACATTTCTTATTTTTCAGTTTGAACATTATATTACTTTTCTTTCCTCTTCCCCAAAATACAGGTATATTGGACTACTAACCAGATTAGGATTAGTTTATGACCCTTTTTGGCTACTTCATGAAAATATAATACAGATTGAGTGTCCCTAATCTAAAAACCCAAAATACTCCAAAATATGAAACATTTTGAGCACCAACATAACACTCAAAGGAAATGCTTATGGAGCATTTTGGATTTCATATTTTCAGATTAGTGATACTCAACTGGTATAATACAAATATTCTAAAATCCAGAGAAATCCAAAATCTAAGCATTTGAGATAAGGGATACTCAAACTGTAGTGTGATCAAACTTTTCTTTGATGGACTCTTGCCATTACTCAACTCTGAATATTCTTATATGAAAGAGGAAATGCTTTTAAAAGGAGAAAGGAAATTTTCCATAATTCAAGTGTGTGTATTTTACCATGATTTTCAACTCAGAAAATTATTAAATGTGTCAAATGTATATATAACATGGCAATTGACTTAAGAGAGTTGTTTGAAGGGACTGTTGGCATTGGCTTTATAGATTTTTAAAAGCTAATTTCCACATATTGGCAAGTACAGGACCAGGACTGACATTAATCCTATAATAGGTGTCTTCTATGGCTTCCTACTTACTAGTGGCTCTCTGGGCTGTTACAGTTAGGACAACCTGGGTACACTTATGCTTTCTCTTTAGCAGGCATCTGAACAACCCCAATCAAAGCAGAGCAGCAAGAGGAAAACTAGTATTTTTTTTTAATTATGTGTGTAAAATACACAATTGTCAAATCCACCTTAAGTGCTAAGTGGACCCTATGTTTGCACTGGTCCAAATCACACCTTCCATGTGTTACAGAACTTTAGGGAACAGAGATTCATTCAGCCCTCCTAGATGCCTTTTGATTTCAGGAAACTGTTTTCCGTCAGTGATTCTTGGAATCCATTGTGTACAAATAGAAACATTTGAAATTCTATAAAATCTGTACGAGTCAGAATGATGATGGTGGTGAACAAGACATCTGCATCTCTGGACATGCTGCCTCTGTCAGTGCTGCCTGCGTGCACGGGGTCACTTGCAGGCAATGTGAATGCTGCCCGGTGCATATATAATACAGATTTTATTATTTAGAGAAGAATTTATAAGCAGCCACATAGCAGTGTGCACAGAATCCCTTGAACTCTCATCCCACAGCTTAGGCTATGCTTGGATGTCTGCGTGCACCATTGCTGCAGCTCTGGTGGACAGTGCCCTATGTAGTGAGAGGGCCAGTGGCCAGGCACCATCTATGTGACTGCATAACAGTGGAAGATCTCTGGTCAGGGAAGTGGCCTCATTAGAAGGGGAGAGCCTCCGGAGCCCAGTGGTTGGTGTCAGCCTATTTTTTTTGTCTGGCAGAGCCAGTTTTCTGCTAAGCTAGCAAAAGCGGGAAGGAAATGAGTGTCCGGAGCCATCCAGATTTCTCTCTTGCTAACTAACTAACCACAGGTTCACTGTTCTCTTTACCTGGTTGCAAGCAATTTGGGAGAGACGAAGTTGTATGGATCTTTGCAACTTCTGTGGTGCCCTGCCTGTGGCTGAACGCTTAATACATACATACCTGTTGACTGAATAAATAAAATAATAGACTTCAGAAAAAGTACAATTTAGAAAAAAATATTTTTTCTTAGATATGGTAACTACTTACTGTATATAATTTGGAGTGTTCTACTTAACCGAGTACAATTTATATATATATACAGGTAACCGTTGACAAGCAGATTTAGTGTTCTCTGAACTATTCTATTGCTATGAAAGCAGCATACATCTTGATGATCAATTTTTTTTTAAACATCAGGAGATTCTGCCAAAATATAAACAGTATGGTGATGCTGTTGTTGAAATCCCATTCTTCATGTGATCATTTATTTTATTTTTTAATTTTTTTTTTTCATCTTTAATTCTTCTTGGTTCATCTTTTTTTTTTTTTATTTTGGCATATTATGGGGGTACAGATTTTAAGGTTTCAATAAATGCCCATTTCCCCCCCTCCCCTCAAAAGTCTGAGTCTCCATTATGACCATCCCCCAGATGGTGCACATCTCACTCATTATGTATGTATATACCCGCCCCCCTCCCCCCTCCCACCTGCCCAATACCCTATTACTGTAGTACCTATGTGTCCACTTAGGTGCTACTCAGTTAATACCAGTTTGCTGGAGAATATATCTGGTGCTTGTTTTTCCATTCTTGGGATACTTCACTTAGTAGTATGGGTTCCAGCTCTAACCAGGAAAATATAAGGTGTGCTATATCACCATTGTTTCTTAGAGTTGAATAGTACTCCATGGTATACATATACCACATTTTATTAATCCATTCTTGGATTGATGGGCACTTGGGCTGTTTCCACAGCTTTGCAATTATGAATTGTGCTGCTATAAACATTCCAGTGCAGGTGTCTTTTTTGTAGAGTGTCACTGGATCATTTGGGTAGATGCCCAGAAATGGGATTGCTGGATCAAATGGTAGATTCACTTGTATTGCTTTAAGGTATCTCCATATTGCTTTCCACAGAGGTTGAACTAGTTTGCAGTCCCACCAGCAGTGTAGGAGTGTTCCTCTCTCTCCGCAACCACGCCAGCATTTATTGTTTGGAGATTTTTTGATAAAGGCCATTCTCACTGGGGTTAAGTGATATCTCATTGTGGTTTTGATTTGCATTTCCCTGATGATTAGAGATGATGAGCAAAACAGGACCCACACCTTTCACCTTTCACAAAAACCAACTCACGCTGGATAACAGACTTAAACCTAAGATATGAAACTATTAGAACTCTAGAGGAAAAAGTTGGAAACACTCTCCTAGACATCGGCCTGGGCAAAGAGTTTATGAAGAAGTCCCCAAAGGCAATCACAGCAGCAACAAAAATAAATAAATGGGACATGATCAAACTACAAAGCTTCTGCACAGCCAAAGAAATAGTCATGAAAGTAAACAGACAACCTACAGAATGGGAGAAAATTTTTGCATCCTATGCATCCGATAAGGGACTGATAACTAGAATATACTTAGAACTCACGAAAATTAGGAAGAAAAAATCAAATAACCCCATTAAAAAGTGGGCAAAGGACTTGAACAGAAATTTTTCTAAAGAAGACAGAAGAATGCCCAACAAACATATGAAGAAATGCTCATCATCTCTAATCATCAGGGAAATGCTGATCATTTATTTTAAAATAGCTTCCATGAAAGTAAGATTCCTAATTTCAGGCATCCTGCTTAATTGTATTTTGTTGATGCTGATAACTAAAAATGAAACAAAGCATTTACAGTAGATTTCAATGTAATTTTATTTATTTAGGAGGGCACTACAAACTTAAGTAAATTTGCACACTTACAAATTTACCAGTCATGTGAAAGAACTACAGATAAAACAAATAAGCCACTTTAACATTATTTTAAAAATTATATCACATTTTTGTTTTAAAAATAAAATATATGTTTGTTTTGATTCACACAAATTAAAATAGAAATATAATTTTATCAAGAAAAGTTATTTTACTAGGGAATATGTCACATGTAACGTTAAACTTAAAGCTTTTGTAGTACATTTGTTTCTAAATCCTGTAACTGGTGAGTAATTAATCTTACTTTTTTCTTTGACAGGCTTATGCAAGCAAAGATCTGGAGGAGCAATTGCGGTCCGTGTCCAGTGTAGATGAACTCATGACTGTCCTCTACCCAGAATATTGGAAAATGTACAAGTGTCAGTTAAGGAAAGGAAGCTGGCAACATAATAAGGAACAGCCCAACCCCAACTCAAGGACGGAAGAGACGATAAAATTTGCTGCAGCACATTATAATGCAGAGATCTTGAAAAGTAAGTATGGGAAAGAAAAATGTATAAAAAGCCTCCTATATCAAGCCAGTGAAAGTCACCAGCCTGGTTTCTTCAATTTCAGCATTTGTACCACTCACTGAACATACTTTTAAGGCCAAAAGTAAAGAAAATAGAAAATAAAAAACTACTTCAAAATACATTTTATGATTTCACTTTGTTAAATTGATTTCTGGAAATACAAAGATAAGTCCATATATATCAACACACATTCTTTTTAATGGAAATGATAATCTATTGTAAAATTTTAAGAACATGTGGGTATATTTTACACACTGTATCAGTTTAATTATTTAAATATTCTGTATCTTACAAAATAACTATACATACATTTTCTTTCTGATTTGGACCTAGAAATGCTTCATTTCTCTCAACATACCCAAACCACCTTTTCAAATACCATTTGTTGCCTTGCAGCTTCATAGATAACTGGCTCAGAGCTGGACTTTTGTAAAGCTGATGTCTCATGTAAAGCTTCACAAAAAATTATGATGTTGCATAAAGTGTCATAGTATAAATTGATCAGATAATTTTAAAAAGTAACTCCCTTCAGTTGGTAGCTATAAAGGTTTGATATCGCAAAGTATTTTGAGAACAAAAACAAACAAAGAATGGCTTAATGGTTGAATGACCAATAGTTTATATCTTTCTTCTCCAGAAATTTTATTTTAGGGGAAATATGGGAGAAATAAACTAGAACACTTAGGAAGTACATCATTTGTAATGCAGTATTTAAAGAGTCAACAATGTTATAGGTAAGCCACTAACTCACTGGAAACAGAATTCCAAGACAGAGCTAAAAGGGAGAGAAAAATTGGACTTTCCTGAAGAAAGCTGGTTCAGGATATAAGTCCCAGCTGACAGAATAGCCTTGCCTTTCACATAACTACTGCATGACATTGCTCAAAGTTCCAAATAGCCTGCCTAAAAATGATGTTTGACTTGTGTCTAAAACCATAGCCATTTTCTCATATGCATCTCAGTTTAAGAAGAAAAATAAAATCATGTTTACATTTGCTTTGAGAATACAAAAATAGTACATATATAACTAATGAGCATGACTCTGTTTCTGCACATCTGTAAGCATCTGTCTATTAAATTCCCATTTTCCTGAGTAGGGAAAACCAACCGTAAGTGCTGTGGAATATTGGTGTAATTTTAAGAAAGCATGGTCCTGATTTCACTTGTTACATGGCTGTTGAAGTTTTTTAGAAAACATCCTTAGCTGCTCTGTTAAATATTGTATCATATTCCCATTCCCAGGGCAATTTAGGGTTCTGTCCACTGCTTCCTTAGTTATGTATTATGCTTAAACCTTAAAATCTGAAATCAAATGTGAGTGACTTGCAGTGGCTGTGGGCTTCTCTTCCCCTTGGTGGTTTCTGTATAACTTATGGACTTCCCTATGACTCGACAGGTATTGATAATGAGTGGAGAAAGACTCAATGCATGCCACGGGAGGTGTGTATAGATGTGGGGAAGGAGTTTGGAGCAGCAACAAACACCTTCTTTAAACCTCCATGTGTGTCCGTCTACAGATGTGGGGGCTGCTGCAACAGTGAGGGGCTACAGTGCATGAACACCAGCACAGGCTACCTCAGCAAGACGGTAGGTATTTCACATTCCAGCTACACCTGAGGGCCCTCTCCATCAGAGCCTTTAACTGGGAAAGGTTCTCTCTCCATCAGAACCTTTAACCGGGAATGCCGTGCTCAAAATTCTGGGTGGGTCAAAGTAACTTAGCTCAAGTCAGAGTTTCTTATATTTTCTTGGGAGAATGAAGTGTTTCAATATTTTTGTTTCCTTGGTGATACAGTATCACAAAGAAAATAACTGATGCTCCGTGAACTCTGTTCATATAGTGGAAAATCAAAGCCTAGTGAAGAAAATAATAAATATACATACATATGTATACATGTGTATGTGTTAATCTTTAGGAATCTGCATTTTCGTTTAGCAATACAGTACTTTTAAATGGTTAAGTTTTCCAATGATAGAGATATTTCAAAAATTACGTATTCGAAATATATTATATAAATTACGTGTATGGGTTCTGTGAAACAGCTGTTTGGTATTGAAATGAGCCATCACTTTGAACAAAATTAGTGTCCCTTTGGAAAGCAAAGGCAACAATTCAGACACTAAATTTTGAATAACCTGTAAAGTTCATCACATTAGATCTTAAGCTTCTAATAAATAACCAAACAACCTCTCTTAAAGTTTGGTTTGGATCAGAGATTTTTCAGAGCAGACCTGTTTTGTGGGTCTGACATGGAAGAAGAGGCCAGCTTAGGACTTGCTTATGTGCTGTTGATAACCACGGGAGTGTTGTTTGAAATCGTGTGTGCCTCTGACCTCTGCCCAGAAATGTTTAGAGAAGTGCAATGCTGTGGGCTGGGCAAACTTCACCCTGAAAGTAAAAAACTGTGGTTGCCCTAAAGGTTTTTCCAAGCAGTTTTGAGAGTTGGACTAGCATGGGTAATCTGGGTACATCCAGAACTCTCCTTTGACTTTGAGAATGAAAAATGAAATCATTTGAAAAGCATGATGTTAGATTTGATTAGTATAGTGTGATATGACAGCAAATTAACATTTTAATTTTAGACAAACTTTAGCTGATCTATATGGTTCCCACTAATAAAACATACTATTTTTAATGTAATATAAATGGAAATGAAAGGTTACTGCCTCAATTCCCTGAACTACATTTTCCCATCTAGTTGAAAACTTCTAAAATGTGTGCTGTAATGAACATTTGGCCTCTGAATTTGGAGACATCGTCCTATTATACAGTCCAAATTAGTTGCATTTTTTTCAAAACTTGTATTTCTTTATCTTGTTTACACACTTGATGAAGGAACAAGCCATTTCAGATACTAAGATTTGCAAGAGGAAACAAAATAAATTATAACGCTGGATTTTCTGTTCAGTTTGCTTCTGCCTCAACTCTAAATAATAATAAAAAAAAAATTAAAAGGTGATGCTTTGAGGCCTTCTGTTATTCCTATTAGTATCATATTTAGTTAAGCTAAGCCGTAAGTAGTTTATCTTCCATTTATTTCCTAAAAGTACAGCAAAATAATGAAGGATTCATTATAAATATGTTAGCAAGGGAAACAGTATGACCCTAAATATATTCAGGCATTTGGAAACTTTATCAGTACCATGTCTGGTTGTGGGAATGTGATAACATTTCAGTGCATGACAAAATTCTAGTATCCTAATGGACTAACATGTCATTGTAGTGCCAGGGCATGCCAAAACTTATCCTTAGGTTCATCCCCCCCACCCCCGAATCTATATTGAACAACTAAGAAGTTATAATTTTATATAGGATAGTAAGTATTCTGAATAAAATTACACTATTTTAACAGATTTTACTTGATATTATGTATTTATCCTATCACAACCCTGAAGTAAAACTGGATTCTTTAAAAGCCTCTCATGAGTGTTACAACTAAACACTTTTTAAAAACAAATAGAAATACTTAATGCCAGCCAGATATTTTCCAAAAGGTAACATTCGTTTAAAAAAGATACTAATATTAAAAAATGTTGCTTTTATATTCAAGCCAAACCCTTCAAGAGGAATTTTGGCCTGCTGAGTCTCTTGAAAAAATATCGTTTTTTTTTAAGTTAGAGAAAATAAATGTGGGTGATTTAGAAATTAAAATATACTGTTTTCAGAATCTTTAACAGTGTATATTTTTAAGTAATCCAATTAAGGAATATAATGTGTTCTAGATTATATTGTTTGTTATTATGGTGTTTGATTTAAATTAAATATCAATTTGGTTGCCCTTCAAAAGGTCGAGATTTACCAATTGCATTTTTAAAAGTCTGAAGGGCTATATTTCTTTTAAAAATGGAATGAGATGCAAGAGACTGAAAGATAATTTTGAAGAATTATTTCATTAAGTAGGACAAACTGTATCTAATAAGAGTTCATTATTATTTCAAAAAGGCCTTATTGAATTTAGTTGTTAGATGAAATTTTATTTTCAAAGTGCTCATATTGTAAATGTGTAGAGTTGAATAATAAGTATTGTAGTGTTGGGCTTTTCTTGTTTGTTCATTTCTTGAAATTCCCTTTTTTTCCCCCTTTGGTGAATATCAGTTGCTAATTGCCAGTATTTTAAAGCTACTTTTCATTGCTAATTTCTTCTGCAAATTCTTCCATTATGTCTTATTCTGTTACTATAGAGAAAATGTTTTTAAATGAGCCTCTTTTTAAAATGTTTTCTTGTTGGGATCTTTTAAAAAGTAAAATATTCCAAAATAGATCTCCTTTGGGTGCTGATGCCCAAACGTTTTGTATAATAGTTCCTCAAAGAAGTTCTTTTTCTCTACAGCACCAAACTCACTCCCCAAAACAATAGATTTGGGGGTACAAAGGTTTTTCTGGGGGATACACATGTTTTCATCAATTACATGGATGAATTGCATAGTGGAGAAGTCTAGGTTTTTAATGTACCCATCACCTGAGTAGTATACATTTTATCTAGTAGGTAATTTTTCATCTTGCCTCCACCTCCCTCCCTCTCCCTCTTCTGCGTCTCCAGTGTCCATTAAGTCACTCTGCACGACTGTGCACACCCATCGCTTAGCTCCCACTTGTAAGCAAGAACTTGCAGGTTTTTTGTTCCTCCCCAACTATCTTGAGTCTCCATATCTACCACCATCAAGTGGTGGAGGTACCTTTGATGCTTTTCCCAACTAATGACGTAACATCCTGTCTGCTCTCCCTACTTCCAACTTCCCTCTTCCTAATCTATTCTCTAAATTGCCCCCAAACCGTGATATTTTAAAAAACACAGATCTGATGTTGTCAGTCTCCAGCATAAAGGCCTTTCAGTGATTTCCCATTGCTTTTAGAATAGCACTAAAATCTTTTTTTAAAAAAATTCTTTTTGGTGATATAGTTGTATATATGTTGGGGACACGTGATATTTTGGTAACTGTATCCGATCTGTAATGATCAAATCAGGGTAACTGGGGTATCCATAACCTCCAACATTTACTTTGTGTTGGGAACATTATAGGTTTTCTCCTCTAGCTATTTTGAAATATACAATAAGCTGTTGTGAACTATAATTTCCGTACTGAGATATCAAATACTAGAACTTCTTCCTCCTATCTAACTGTGGTGTTGTGCCCCTTAACCAGCTCCTCTTCTTCCCCTCTCCCTCTTCACTTCCCGGCCTCCGATAACTGTCATTCTTCTTTCTACCCCCATGAGATCTACCTTTTTAGCTCCCATATATGAGTGAGAACATGCAATATTTGTAAGACCAAAATCTTTATCACAGCCTCTAATATCTGCCCTCTACCCACTTCCCAGCATCATCTAACATGAGTTTCCCTTGACCTTGTGCTTCCAGTGTGGTAGGCTTCCTTTACTTCCTGTGAACCACTCTATTCTCTCCGCCCCAGGGTCTTTGCATACACATACATGTAAGTTAACCTGGTCTTCTAGATTCCTGTTTCCTGAGGTGCCATTTCTTTGTACTTCAACTCAGGTGCCAAGTGGCTCAAGGAAGCCCTCAGGTGGGATTTTTCTGATGTCCTTCGATTAGATCCAATATTTCTTTCCAATGCTTTATACTGCCCCATATCCCCCCCCCATAGTACTTCTACAGCTTATAAGCACATAGTTTATAATCATATAGTCATTATTACTTGATTAATGTCCATCTCCTCCATAAAGGCAAAAACAGGTCTGTTCCATTCACTGATTGTCCCAGTACCTATCACCGAATTAGCATCCCTTTTAGAACCACATAAAAACCGTGGACCCTCTCAACAGAACAAATGAAAACATAGACACATTCACAGCATTTTCCCCCAGTATCAGGAAGTTGTTTCCCTGACCCCTAGCTTTTATCTGTTGAGCCTGGTTTTAAAACTGCTGCCTTGAAGATTAATAACAGTAAAGTAGTTGATTAATTCACCTGTTTAATTTTTAAACAATGGATCCTTTAGCCGAACAAAAGTTTATGCTATAAGTTTAGCTCAATCTTTTAAAAACATCTGTTTCTATTACAAATAAGGGAGAAAATTTTTCTTTATTCATTAGTTAATTATGAGCAAAAGCCAACATTCTATTCTTCTTATTATTGGTTTACCAAATAAATGTGTACTTTAAGTATGGACTGAATAAAGAATAGGAGTACCCTAGGTAAAATCTGAGCTTGAAACACAGAAAGCCAGTACATTGCTAGGAAGCAAAATACATTAAGTTTAGTCTTCAGTTAACCATTAGTGTTTTTTCTGTCACCACTGCATATTTATTTCCTGTGGCTGTCTAAATAGGTGTCACAGTTATCTAATTGATAACAAAGTGAAAGTATTTATTCAAGGCTACGTCTGAATGCATGGCAGCATACAAACCATCTGTCAAGAGGGAGGCTTTGGAGGGCTTTAGGCTTTAGAAATTGCAAGGCTTCAGGGCTAAGAAGAGCATTTACTGCCAAATTTAAGGTGCATGTAGTAGGTGAAATAATTTGGCCTTCTATCCTCAGTACTTAGACAGCAAATATGATACTTTTTTAATAAGAAAATTAAGTCTATTTTAGATCATATGGAGTCATTTCTCACTGTATTACATC